TGAGAGGGTGCTCGATATGTTGGATCCCAGATATGTGAATCTGTCAACAGTATCCAAGTGGTAGTCGTCGATGGCGATAGTGGGGAGGGAGTCAGCGCCCTGTGCCATAATTTTCCAACGTAGAGTTCCTCGTAAGAGCATAGCTGTTAAAGTAAGGATAGGTGTTCATGATACATTGTGTGATGGCAGCGTGCTTTTTTTCCCATTCTAATTTAGAATTAAAAGGGCGCATACAAATAGTGCACATACAAATGCTGCACATAAAAATAGTGCACATACAAATAGTGCACGTTTCATCAATTGTTATTATACCGAAAGTGTTTTTGTTTTCTTTGAATGTGCTACTTTTATTACAAAGTTTGCTGAATAACAATTTTAATTTTTTTTTTTTTTTTTATTTTTTTTTTTTTTTTGAAAAGATTACACTGATGGCATCATCTCACCTCGCGAATTTTTTTTTCAAATGTGTCTAACTTTCAAAAGAAATCTCCGGAGCATTTTTTTTTTTTTTTTGTATGTGTTTATTTTATTACAAAGTTTGATGAATAAAAATTTTAATTTTTTTTTTTTTTTTTATTTATTTTTTTTTTTTAAAATCCTTAGCCTATATTTGGTATTATTAACTTCCCAACGGCTTTTCTCTTTTTAATATCAGAATAATAATAAAAATAAAACTGTCCTATCGATTTGCACACCCCATTTATATTATTTTTTATTTAAGATGAGAATCCAGTAGAAAGCTAAGAATTTTTTTTTGTGTGCACTAGCATTTCCATTATAATGCCAACTTCATTTTTTTGGTACTGTGATTTAGAAGAAAAAAAAATTCCTAATTCGTCAATTTAAAATTGATTTTGAGGATTTTTAAAATATTATTTTGAGTGTAGTGAGTAGGCAATTTGTTATTTATCTGAAAAAAGTTATAGTAGTTTGAACTTCCAAATAAAAATTTCAATCTACTGACTATTGGGAAATGTATACTTCATTTGTATACCTTTTCCCACACGTTCAAACCACACGTTAATAAATATGTAATGTCTTTTGTAAATAGCTCATGTCTTCTTTAAATATTTATGCCGTTCATGCACGGTTTCTATAGATGGCCAGCTTTCAAAAACCCAGACAAATGTACAGACCTTTCTAATTAACTGGTACTTTCTTTTTTAAAACTCTGGTCAAATTTGGAAATCTTTAGAAAAGAAAGTCTAAATGTTACAAGTTAGTTTTATCCTACTCGCGTTCAGCATAAAAATTTATGTTTGCAATGCTTTTTAGAGATGGAACCGTTTTCAATTTAATTTTTAAAAAAATAATTCTTTTATTAATTAACCTCTCCCCAAGAATAATGTAAATAAAAAATAAGAGTGACATTTATATTTTTAGTAATATTTTTTGGGTCTATAACACAAGCAGGTCAAGCACTTCTAGTCTTGTGCTGGGCGCACACGATGGTTCTAAGGTTATGTGACGCCTACTGGTTTAACTAGGAGCTCCTCTATTGTTCTCCAATTAAGCGTTGAATGTTGCAAAATTAAATTCAGATATGTGATAAAATGCATTCTTATATATTTAAGTTTATCAAAAATGTTCTGTGGACTATAAAGTTTTAAGAGGCGAGATTAAACCAGGGCAAAAGCGTATATTCAAGGGTGACAAATCTGGAATGAACTTTGGGCTCGTCCCAACCTAACTTTGGGCACGTCCCACCCTAAGTTTGGGCACGTCCCACCCTAAGTTGAAAATGTCACCTCAAAATTGTCTGAAAGATACAACAAATTCAAGTATGCCCCTAATTGAACCCCAACATTTTGAATTAGCCCGACATTCTTTAGCCCTTTACATTTCTGCAGCCCCTTCCGTCGTGACGATTAATGTTACAGTATGGGTTAATTCTAAACTTGTGCGAAATGATTACCCAGGGGCAAACCACAAACGGAGTGAAATCAGTAAATGTATGTCCCTGGGTGCCATAATGCCGCCTTTAAAACCTAACAAATGTCCTTTCCAGTTCAAAAAGTATAATAGAAATATTGAATTTAAGTATACTAAAAAATACACCACTGTATTTTGAAATGATTAAAAATTTTCGGGTGCAGGCTCCTCAAACCCTCCCACAGATCAAGATTAATTAACACCCTCGATTTTCGACCTACTTCCCGATGAATATGATCGCCGATTTTGGTATCGATATATACACTACCTAGTGGCGTAGCAACTGTTTGGGCCATCATGGGCGGAAAAACATTTTCGCCGCACTCCCTGTCACGAACAAACTCTGCAGTTGTCCTAGAAATGTCCCACTTGATATAAAGAAAAGTGATACGTGGGTTGACCACCCCATCCACCCTATTTCGATGCCACTTGCCGGGGCGTATCTAGAGTGTTTAGCGTCAGAGGTAATACATTTTTACGCCTCTACCCCCCCCCCCGCCCTTTTTCAACGCTAAACCATCTATTTTAAACCATTAAATACCATCAATGCCCATTTTCCCCCGCCTAGTCTGGCGCCCCAGGACTTATGACCCATCTGCCACCCGTTAGCTACGTTTCGGGCCACTGGCAACCGGCACTGCCCCCCCCCC